AGCAAAAGCATATTGTTTGATGATTTCAGAAGGGTATGCTGAGTCTACACATTGTATAATACCACTGGAAAGTTAGATTTCGTTTGCTATCCTGCTATATATTGTCAGTTGTGTGTACGTTTAATAGGAAAGCACTGACTGCAATACAAAGCAATGGTACACTTACCTCTTTGAGAATTGCAGTGTAGCGCGCAACGCTGTTAATGTTTTTCGGTTTGGACTGTAAGGATTTTTTACACTCATCGGCTGTTACCCATTAGAAAAATTTCATCTATTGTCGCTGCCATTTTTGGGTCTGCGTGATAACGATCACTTTTGCAATGGTACACTAAAAGCACAAGTATAATGAGAGCAAGTAACAATTACGTATGCAGTGGTAAATGAACACCAGAGGCTCCGATGTCAATTAAGCTTCATTAGAAAAGCGGTAGCTAAAAGTTTCAGAATTGTTTACTACGGGTTGCCATAAGTTCTGAAGATGAGCAGGATAAAAACACGCCATGAATTCGCATACGGAACTTTCGCAAATATTACACAACGGAAAATAGTATATTATTAGCAAAAAAGCAAAAGCCTAAACAGTACGATGGGCCATCCGGAAAGAAAACTGCAGCAATGGAGAAAACGTAGTGCTAAATTGAAAAACGCTTGGAAGACTCACTCACTGTCTACAAGCAGATTTGATTAATCGGGCTTGTTTCGTATGTGTTGCTTAATACTCGTTGGTACCCAGTTTTCACAATGTATAGTCTGTCGTTATTGACGACCTATAATTCATCCTATAGGTGGGTTATGGTATCATCAGTGGGCGATCCGAACGCAGCTACATGTGAGGCAAGAACAATATGATGAGCGAGGGCGGTCCACAGCTGAGAAACAGGACGGGATTAAAAGTGTCGGCCAACTTCTACTTGGCTTTGTTGAGTGGAGAAATTGCCTCGGATTTTCATGATGTTGCTAATTTGCAGTAGGTGGCCGCAGATGTGAATGCGGATCCTCAGAACCTGGTAGAGCAATATTAAGTCGCATAAAGGCGCCTATGCCGACCACTGTATACTTTGATGGTACTCAGCTTAAGTTGATATAAACTTAATAAGAATAATCTACCGTGCTGTGAGGCACTTCACTGTAGAGTCCCGCATGCTGAGGGGTGCTGCTTGTACTAGGTCTGGCAGGTCTTGTTTACGTAGTTCACATGAGACCGTAAGTATGCGCTCGGCAGCTGAAGGAAGACATTTATATAAACCCACAGTGTGTTCTCCACAAGATACCAACGTTTTGACTCCAGTTATTTGACACATTCTCAGATGGCGCAGGGCAAATCAAATCAGCCTGAATTAGTATCCAAAATTTCGCTTCTGGGTGAATGTCTGCAGACGTGGTCTTCAATCCTGTATATGCTGTTCGGCTGATTGCGAATGTAGACCAACTTAACTTGGAGCGAAGCAAGCTGGAGTAAGCAATCATACGCAACGTCTAGGTTTCGTTGAAGTGCATCACGGTCTCTTTGGTCGGCCACTGCGCGCCAAATCTAAACCTCATCAGCGAAAAGCAAGAAAGCTATGGGAACCAGACGCGTAAGCTCATTAATGAACAAGTAAAACCATAGCGGCCCCAGCGTTAGCTCCTTTGGAACTACACATTCGAAGTGAATCAGATCGGACAGAATAATTTGAACTCTAACCTACAATTGCTGATGTTGTAGGGTATTGTTTATCGAGTCGAGCACAACATCCGAAATTCCGTAACCAGCGATCTTGTGCAGCAAAATGCGGTGCTGCACGCAGTAGAAGAGGTTTGAAGAAGACGAGTTTAATAACCTTGTTCTCTTTCACTCTGTGGGTGGCCACCGTTCAAATAACGCATGTACTCAGTACGTTGACTGTGCATGAAGGTTATTAGCAGAAACCGTGCTGCTCTGATGGTATGATACTATAGCGTACTAGATGTTGGACCATAGACTCAGCCATTATTGCTTCCATCGTCATTGAAGGACCAGGGAAGAGGACTACCCAGCGAAACTTTTCTGGCTCTGGCCGACTGCCAGTAGTTAAAAATTAGCGCGTTTAGCCGGTTTTCATTCTATATACACAAGGTGCTTATCAGAATCTGTTTAGAAGAAATGCAATAATGGTTAGATCTGCGTCATAACTGCTACCTTTAGCGTCATCCGCTGGATGTTATTCACTCCATGAAAACTAGGCGAACAATGACAGCAGTTTCCTCAGCACACTTATGGTGTCAAATGTGATGTCATTTAGTACTGAACATGGTAAGATGGAGGTACACACTTAAGACTGGCGGATGTTTCGTCCGAGCACACCACAAAAGTAGCGCCGTGGTTGTTTCCTCAGCCCTCTTTAGCATCCAGCTGACTTGTTTCTCTTAGGCATGCGGTTAACAAGCTTATACAGTGGATTTTTTGAATAAGCTACAAGCCAGGCATCGTTAATTATCCCCTTGTCCTAAGGGACGAGCGTGTTACAGTTGATATTTTTGGTCGCGCCGTCGCTCTACGTTTCGGAACCAAGAGTGGTTGTGCCAACTCTCCAAGCTGCATCCCCTACTGATGTGTTTTGGACTGTACCTCTAATTACAGACGATAGATTAGTGAAATTGATCGACTTAGATTGTGAAACAGTTACGAGCTGATTACAGAAATGTCCAACAAACTGAATGCAGTCGCTGTCAGAGGAATTGCGCTTCGAGTGGTTCTAATCGGTCACCATAACTATATTTGACAAGATGTAGTAGAATGTGATGGCGCGCTTTGGTTCAGCGTGTTCCTCCGGGTATTTAGCATTATGCATAAAGTTGCAAAGTATGTTAACAGAATCGCTTAGCACTAGTGGGGTGTCTATTTTTAGTCTGTCTGTCATACGCTACTCAGTTCTAAGTAAAAGTTTTAGTACAGTTGCTTTGTTATCAGCTCTATACCTGGTGGGTGAGGGGTTGTGATTTTACAGTGGAAAACTGGCGATACGCTGTTGCAGGTCGGCCTTGACTATTTCACTGGGAGAGGTAGTCGCTTCCAGATTGTTCACTTCATAATCTCCTGAGATAAGAATGCAGCTGTAGGTCGAAGGCAAACTTTTTGTCAATGCTGATATTGGGCGGAATCTATCTGGAGTTCATAATGGGAAGCGATAAATGACTACACGAAGCAGTCGTCATTCTATCTAAAACGCACGTTGTAGTAGCATCAGTAACCCAGTTCTTCGGATCATCCAAATTTTCGCAATGTAAATCAGTGGTTTAGTGCTTAACTACACTAATTCCTATGCTGGGCGACCGTTTCGAAACAGTGGCATTCTATGAATTGCCATCGCTACCTGCGTAGTCTCCTTGCGCAACCAAGCGTCCGGTAGAGAAATGAGCTCCTAAGTATTTGTTGTCTGACGTAACCGATGCATGGCAAGTTTGGTTAGAAGGTCTTGGGCATTGGTGAACATTCAAGCAAATTGTTCAGTTCTCAGCAGCAAAGACAAAGTAATGTGGTTTGGTTAAGGGAATATTCCGATAGTTGTTTGATAGACCTCTGACAATTTTTGGTTAGATTATCGACGAGTGACGTGGAGTTAGTTTCTTCAACATCGTGCTCTGCCCCTGTGGTAATTCATTTTGAATTTTACACAACGTTGGCTACAAGGTTGATTAGGAAGTTCCTTGCTTTCTTCAGACCTGCTACTAGTATGGATTTCAATTACAGTCTCTACTTCATCAGTCTACTCAGATGACGCTTTAAATCGGGTGGCAGTATCATTTGCCGATTGAACCGGTGCTCGGTTGGCAGTCTGTTGTAAAGAGACCGCCTGCTTTCCAGTAACCGCAGTGTCGTCTGAGTGGTTTTAATTACAATCTTCCTTGTCCTTTGACTAAACGCTTTGTAGCATGCCGATCTTTGCAGTCTTGGGAGGGAAGCAGTCACAACATAGTCTCAGAGCCGGGACTCACAAATATAGCGCCACTGTTACTGATCGTGATCATCTCTTTCTTTTGCTCATAAAAGTGGTGGAAGCCGCGGATATAAACGCTTCCAACTACTGTGTCTACGCAATACTCTTCTAAGCTCTGCTTCGCTCGTTTATGCCCCTCCAAGGAACGTCCAGAAAGAAAGGTAGTAGTTGCGATGTAACTGATGACAATAGTTGAGATCACTGAACTTGAACCTGGGTTATTTTAGTGTACACGTAGTTGAAAAACGAGAAGTTTTCGTTTCAATTCGAGCTCATCACATATAAACCCTCTCGGATTGCCGTCGTATTTTTGGCAATTGGTTGCACTCCGCTCCATCGACTCGCGAGTCATTTGCTTTGCGCTTATGATTCCGCAATTTAATTGAATCCTCCATCTTGGCAATTATTGGTGAGGGAGCGGTCATATCTTCAACCGCAGCATTTCACATCTAGTCGATTAGTCAAATATCTTGTTGCTATCTAACGTGGCCCAGTGGAAGTAACCGAGATCTTATAAATGCGGGACTTGATTTCTGGTCCCTCATGGATAATATGGAATGTGAGTCGATGAAAATTAAAGAAAAGATGAAATAACCGTCTACTAAATTTTTAGATTCGTGTCGGTTGTTAAACGGATAGTGTTTGTGATAGGTAGAGATCTTACCACCTCTGGACTCAGTCGTTATATCATATCTAATAACTTAGTCACGACGTTGGCAACAATCGATTTGCCAATTAGAGTCCTACAAGGGTCAGATGCAATGCGCACTGCTGACGATTCATGAAAGGACGAAACGGCTGTACAACGCAGTTCCGGTTGTGTGATCTTTTTATGACTAAATCTAGACGTGATGAACTTCTACCTATGTGATTCAACTCGCTCTACAACTTCTCTGAATTACAACTTTGCTAGAATTTACATGTATATATATACATTTGGTGGTATTGAGAAAGGAGCAAAATAGCGGTCAAAGCGGTATGTTTAATTATTAGCTTTAAAATAAAAAGCAAATTAGTATACTAAGTTTCTCTCTTGCTCTTCAGCTGATAAATGCTCAGCGGAAACAGTAATGCAACAAGTGAATGAACTCAATGACCAGCTACAAACAAAGGCAGAAAATGTGCACATGAAGCATAAACGACCATATCATACCGCAATGGAAATTCCGTTCGACGCGTTGGCTTGTTTTCCTTTATTGTTTCCACCCACATGTGTTCCTGCTACGATGCTAAATAACGCCTCCCTTCCGGAACTTCATGAAAAAGCTCCATGGATCACCACAAACAAAATCTACGATCCTTCGTTTCCGCAGGACCCAATGCAGACAAGTACGGTGCCGGCAATTTTTATGTGCCCTACAGCCGCTCCGCTCGATGCTTATCGAAACTTTCCATTCATGCCAACTCACTTCGGAAATCAGCCGATAGTATCTTTTCCCGTCGACTTAAATCAGCCTCCTACGCCAATAACTATATCCGAGGAACTGAGTACCACGAAGATACCCAGGTTTTCTTGTATCACAGATGGATCAGTGTATTCCAATATTCCGGACGTAATCGCGTCTTTGCCAAAGCCAAGCTTATCAAAAGGCAATAAAGAAGTAGATACCGGTACAATTCCCTGCTATGTACCCAAGGGACTTCCAGAGTGTGAAACAGATTTCCCTGCACTGCAGCGATCATCCACTGCACTGTCTATTCATAAGGACAGCTTGAATGACAACAAGCTAGTTTGTTATAATCGTTCCGGATACCCTTTAGTCAGTGTGAACTCAAACTCAGCTCCTGAAACTGCAAATATAAATGTAAATGAACAAAACTACTTGACAGCTTTGGAACCATCAGAAACGCCTGTTGACCTTTCTCTCCGCTCAAAACAGAGTTCAACTTCACGCTCAATTTCGAAGCGCCCCTCGAGCAGAAGTAACCATTCATTTGAGTAAGTGGAACGGTATATTTACGCAGTAATAGTAAATAGGTGGAAACCGCAAATACTGACTGCTAGGCAGGTAATTAATATCTCATTGCTCAAAAAGCTTACCAGCTTATGTGCGGTAGGCTGCAGTATCGGGGGAATACACGGTGATTTAAAGTTTCGGCTCAGACGATTCGAAGTTTTACATTTCTACATCAGGTGCGTACCAAAGTCACATGTAACATGACCAGCTGAAGTTAGATTATATTCTAATTTGTAGTTGATGAAATGGCTTGGAATATGTACTTAGTTGACCATAATATTGCCATTCAGACGCCAATACGCTGTGAACCTTTGTCTATACAATCTGGACCATTCAAATGGGTCCTAACGATGGACGGAAAATTTGCCACAAACTATTGACCGGTTCTAAACAACGATGTTCTTGCCTTCTCAAAATAGACTACTGATAACTAGTATTGAAGCTAGTGGACTACACACACAGATTCTCCTATAACCCGAATAAGCCTGGTTTGTGAAAGCTTAATTATTTAGTTATTCCAATGAGACCACACCGCCGATTCTTAACTTTACACTAACCTGATCCACAATTGCAAATATTAAACCTCACGCTTTTACGCATTTCTTATTCACATTTTGGTTAGGCATGTTTTGACAAGAAGGTTAACTGAAAAAGCGTCGCGTTCGTTTGAAATCGGGCAACTCTGTCCGGAGCTGCTCAACCGATCAAATGATGAAAAGATAGAACACGAAGAGAGAATTGAAGAACAATCGCTGTGCCCAGATAACGTTCACTCGCCTTTAGTAAAATTTGACCAGTCATCTAGACTAACAGCTGAACCTGCTCCACTAAGGAGATTTTTATCAGATAAACCAATGGATGCTCGTCCGGTGGGATCAGACAATACAGGGAACTGCAGTTTTGGTGCGTATGATCCTACCGCAATGGAAATTCCAACCGACGACAGCATGGCAACTGATTCACCGTGGGACGACCAAGTAAAACCAAGCCACAGCCGGGTTCATCTTGAAAATGTTCGGAGCATGGGTATTCTGTAAGTGACGCTTACCGATCCAACAGATTTTGAGGTTTACGTTCCAATCTTAAACAATAAATATACATTTGCATAATGGGTAGTACCATTATCACTATTCCACTCACCAAAGAAAACCGTTTGTTGTATTGAGACCAAAGAACATTACTAGCTCAAACTTTCCATGAAACACTAGTATAATAGGTGTCAAAAAGTTATGCTTTGGTGCCGCGCCGTTCCGCTACCTAAATCTGCATTGACGGTGTATTTTGTGCGGTGACGAAACGTTTGCGACCAAAATGCCGAGCTCAGCGAACACAGACCACCAAGTCCCATGAGATGATCTCAAGGATTGTACTTGCCCCTAAAAGTTTACCAGTAAGGTAGGCTATGGATTTGTGGACGAGGTATTCTATTTAAGCTAAAACAGATGTAGCCAGCAATGCTTCCGCTTTGTTATCACCTGATGAACAGGAGCCATGTCAATTGATGCAACTTGCACAATGAGTAGTCTAGTTGTTTATGATAAGTAATAAAGTGAGCGCAACGATAATAAATCATGTGTATTTTACTACTGGAAAGTCATGAGGAAGAAGCTATTTCATCTGTCGTCCAACTGACTGTGTTGTGCAACTAGGTTCAGTTAGTGGCACTTTTGTTTCTTGTGTTGCTGCTACGCTACAAGAGGTGCTAACAGAAGCGATTGGTGTGTTCAACTTGTGACGCCTTCGAATGAGACGTCGTAGACGACATTTTCTGCTGTACACAGCTGATGAGTTTGATCGTAGTTAGTGTCTCATATAAGACAGACCGTTATTGATTTTAGCCACCATTCGCTGTGAGGTCTTCGGTGAATTCAGACCGCGTATATGCCTGTGCAGCCGAGATTACTTTTTGCAACCTACATGAGGCCCAAGTTAAGCATTGAGCATTTATGACTGAGTGAAAAGACCTGTCCGCCGGTGTCTCTGTACGAGACAAACATGTTGGAAATTGGGTGTTGCCCAACCAAAAATACTACACTGCGGTACGCGTTTTAACCTTGTTTGATGTCATCAAGTAGAGACAGCACGCCTCGGACCCGGTAGCATTGGGATGAAAGTAAGAACCTATATCCTTGTGGCTACAGTGTTACAACGAGCAACTCTTATCACAACGGTTAATGACTGCTTAGTAAATCTATTGAATTACCCGTCGTGTGACTGGCTTGATTCAGCTACTGCCTTATCGATAGAAATGGCCGGGTTTTTTAAATAAGAATCACGGTCCACAGCGTGACTGCGCATTGTAATCCTTTCACGCAATAAGTATTTCAAATTGACCATCCAAACCGACCATCATTTATTTTTCCATTTCTAACTATCACAGCTAACTTCGAACAGTAAATGGTATTCTGAATTGCCGCGCTTATGTCGCACACCTACGAGGCGGTCTGTAAGATGTTGTCTCCCTGTATATATACGGATATAGAACCACCTCCGAATATTTAGGAGCCTGGTCAAATTCAAGGTAATAACAATTGGCAAAACTGCGCGCTAAATAATATTTCATTTAGAGCCTAAAAGAAAACCACATTGGATTGTTACTGAGAAGCAAACAGTATCTTATCTAGTATTTTTGTGTTTGCCAGTTTAACTGCCCAGTGTGCACTAATAGTTGACTTCTTATGCACAATTGTAGTATTTTCTAATGTAATGTGAGAAAAGCTTTTCAATACTTAGCAGCGGAATTCCTAGACCTTTACACCTGATATTTGGCACCTTATTATGAGGCAATGGGAAGGATGCAGCATCCAGAGTATAGCCAGTGCTCTCACGTTTGCATAATCCCTGTGCACTAGGAATGACATATACTAAAATCAAACTTATTCCAGTCACCTTATCTTAATCATTTCATATTATGTTGTTTTAAAATTTTACGCATGAGTTTCTCACTGAAATTACTTGGGAGGTGAAGATGTTCGGTGATATCAGCAGAATTTAAGCTTAGTGACAAAACTAAAAATCTAAAATAATTCTTGCACAAATTTTTAGTCCATTTAAGAAGCATTCCCATTTTAAAGAGGATAAAGATGACCAAGCTTGGAATATTCAAACCTACTTGGCTACTATGCGCGACGTCAGTCAGAAACCGCATTTGAGTCACACGGAGCGAGCCTCAGTACATCCATTCGGCAACACACTACGAGAAAATATCCGGTGTCCCATCTACCCAAATCTGAAGTCCTTAATCGAATCTTGGAAAGAAACAAATTACGTCGAGGATCCTCAGCACACATCTAAATCTATTGACAGCCACCAGGCAAAGAACAAGTTCTCCATTGTACACATGGCGAAAATGTGAGTAGTATGATTGAAAGCAATATTTTTGATCATTGGCTGTTTTTCTCATTGCCTGCTTTGATAATTTTATCGTAGGCTGGACAAATCTAAGTAAAACTGTTGATTTGAGAAGCCACTGCGTAGTATGATTAATCCGCCTGCCGGGCACGAGTTACGGGACTTGTGTGGTAGAAAGATGAATAGGCCTGACTGACAACCATGTAGACCAAAGTGATAAACAGCATACTAACTATGTTTACGGGCGGGCAACACCAAATTACCTATTAAAAATCTTTCGTATACTGAGAAAATGGACGCATCTTAACTAGCAGCAGGGTGATATGCCTCCAAACCTCTGACTAATCGAATGGAAGTTATATATTTCACTCGTCAAGTTGAAAGAAGCTAAATATTGAATGAGTGACGGTATTCAAAACTATTCGAATTGTAGAAAGGCGAAAAGTGGTGTAGGCACCTACCACAGTGGGCATATAGAGTAGCGTCCCAAAAGACAATACATTTAAAGTTTACTGTCTAATGTAGGCACAAAGAGGGCTTAAGTTTATCAAGAATAATATTAGTGTTGTTCCCTTTCGATATATCCGACTTGGTTACTGTTAACAATGATTGTGGCGATCTGTAGACAAGTGAATGTCACAAAAGACCAGCCACTTCTTTCTGCACTGCGCAACCACAAGCAAATATTGCTATTAAATGGCAACACCGTGCTCATACGCAAATTTCAAATCATGTGCGTAAACTTTCAAGTATCGTGCGTAAACTCCTAAATCAAGGTTAGTAAATTGCTAGCCACCTTCTTTTCTTTCGGATCGTACTAATACTGATTACTATATCTTTAGTCAGATAATATGCTACGCCCATTGTCAGCATACATCACATTTGTACATTTTAGGATTATTCGCCCCCCATAAATGATCTTATGTTTTCTGATTACGTTAGTGTCGGTTTCTGTTAATGTTTGAAACGCGCAGTGTTGTGTTTTACCTTAAAGTGTACTGATTAGCCTCGAGACTACTGTAACTATTAGGTGTCCTTTAACTTCTGTGTACTGGTTCTGCTTGACTTATCATATGTTATATTGTATATTACGAGACCGTTTTTCAGAGAACAAGGTGGCATTCAACGTTGGGTTTTGGACTGCCCGTCGTGTACCTGGATTGCGATACGCTCTCATTGGGAGCCGCAGTATTGGCGGAAGCAAAACTCTGTTGTTTAGATAACTGAGAATGTATTCGAAGAGGAGAGCTTTAGAGATGCTTTGTCTTGCCCAACAATGATATAATGGTATAGTTTTGTTTCAAAGTGTACCGTGCTTCATATTTAGATGGCTTGTCGAAATCTAAACACCTGGCAAGCATTCTAAGACCAAACGGTGAAAACCCAACCATTAATTGGAGGGTCAAATTTGGACTACACGTTGTGTGCTTGGATTGGGACGCGCAACCTCAGTGTAATGTACTGTGATTCACATTGAAGTGAACATTAGTCACTGCGACCACTGGGACCGTACTCAAAGCAGATGGAAATTGGGTGTTGATTTGGTAGCCAAAGAGGTTGAGGTTTGGACTAATATTCCAATGGTCTCGGGTTCGAGGCCTACTGTCTCTACCTGATGAGATGAAATTACATCGAAAGGCGCCGTGCTTGTGCAATGTTTTGGGGCGGGTAACTCCCAAATTCCACCCAACCGCTACGTTAAGCAACTCTTGCGGATCTCTGGCTTCGTGACCAAGTCGTAGGACTTCACAAACTGCGAGGTTGGTTGCACTCTCAACTCAAGCTATTTCTACATGAAGAGTCTAAATCAGGTGCAAATAGGTCTTGACGTGAGCAGCTGCGAAATTCCCAGCCATTTTCAGGTTGAGTTCCTGCCGAATATAATGAGAAATTCCCTTGTGTTCTCTCATGACCTATTTGTGTTAAAGAGCCAGTTCCACAGAACAGCGTACTTTGTTGGAAAGCATGGCCTCATAGTTTTGCTTTCACTTTGTTATAAGAGGGAACAAGACTTAGTACGGTAAACGTGCGTTAAAATATGCTAAAATTAAAATTCGGGCTTATATCTCAAGCCGTCATGAATGCATTGAACCCAACAATGTAAAAAATATTCCCAGCTGTACCCCTTAATGACGCTTACATGCCAAGCTACTAATATTTGTCGCGCGTGGGCTGAGTATACCGCGAGGACGCCTATCACTACGGGGTTTCGAACCGGTGAACATATGATTGTAAACCAGGCGCGCAAATCATTTGGCCACCGGCAGCTTTGCGGGAATCGTGGCAGAAATTTCCTGTTGGGAATTTTGTTAAAAATCTTTGGTAAATAACCCTTCTAGGTTTTATGGAGATGCACTGGATGATCTCTCGTCCCCGTACAAATTATGCTTAAGTAGTTAATCATTCGATAGACTTGGAATTTAAAAACTCCGGTGGTCGGGACTGGATGATCCGTACGAGATTATTAGGAAGTCGTCATCATATCCTCGAGTTGCACAAAAATTTTGAGATAGCGATTTCCTGAAGCTGACTGATCTCGGGGATACAGGTGCGTAATACTCAGCTATCAAGCAAAAAGTTGCCTGACTAATAGGGAAACTATTATCAATAGCAACTTAGTTAAATGTCGCAAATCTAAAAGATGCGCGCTTATGGGATGTATATATTTTGAACCATTCAGCTTACGTTATATACGTAATGGCGTCTAAAGCTACGAGCAAAATCATTGAAGTATACGCAGCTTGTTGAAAAAAAAGCGAGAAATATGTAATCCGGTTACTATGCTTTACAAAATCTCAAGACACTAGTTTGATTCTAAAGAGTACATCAATGAAAATATAGTAGTATAATTTAATTTCAACAACAATCTAATATGGTTTAATGAATGCTGTACGGATGCAAATTTGTTTGGCAGGGAATATTCAACCCATAAATAATGGCATATCTCTCACTTTGAGCAGCAAAAGTCAAGGCATATATTGATTCTGGATGGCACAAGCTACGTGACATTATGAAACTTGCAAAACTTTCATCTAACTACCTTAGAACAACAGGACTTTGTAAACTGATTATTGGAAACACATGACGGCAACCTGTGTGAAATGCAGCAGCTAGCTTGTCAATTCATTATGATAATACAATCTGGTCTAATGATCCAAACGAAGGGGAGAAAACCTTGACTTATTTTGTAGCTTTTTCCTACTCAGCAAGCTAAAACCGAATTTTGGCCTTTGTATGGATTACGCCTAACAAACACAGCGGATGATATGTTAGTCTTGTGTGTATCACTTCAGTGTTTGCTATTAAATGCTGCAGAATCAAACAGATGGTGATTCGCATCCCAAACACTAGATCAACTTACACGAGGTTAAATGCTATCCACAGCTAGCATCGCATAGAGCTTGTGGAAAGTCGCAATGTAGCTTCTCCTTCTCATTTTAGCGAACTGCCGCAAGAGTGAGTTGTGCAACAAGAGTAAAATCAAATATTAGCTTCTTTCTGGCCATATAATAATATTTATTTAAATTATCCTGTGTTATACGGTTGTATCCGATGCAACTATCAAGTACACAATTTGGTTAGATGCGTTACTGTGCGCGCGGATATTATCGGTTGTCTTATCTACGGGATAACAGGTGGGGATAAAAATTGTGTTTATAACCCTTTGCTTCCTGCAGAAGCTAACAGAAAAAAGGTGAAGTTCAGAACCCGATGAATTTATTCCAGGCACGTTGAACTAAGGACCATTTAGGTCACCTTTATTATCACAATTATCAAACACATGAAACGGATTTATATATATATATATATATATATATATATATCAAATTTGGCTTTGCGCAAGTAATCCGGCAGACGGCAGAAACGACACTCTAGTGAAAATTATCTGTATTCTGTACGGCATCTTTCAGTAGGCCGCAGGCTGCCTTGCAAAACGTCACAGGTTTCACATTATTGGCCTAGTTTATTAAAGCAAATTAACGTACTTCAAAATGGCTCTTCAAACAATCGTTAACCAAGTTCTAGGCACTGTTTTTTGTGACATTTTGTTTACATGGGTAGAGGTTCCAACTGATATACCAATGGTCCAATGCTCGATGGCTGCTACTATCTGTCGGGGTCAAACAAGACTGAAACGCGTAGTGTAGTTCAGTAGTTTCGGTCAGACAACACGTAATTTCTATACCGTTCAGCAACGACTCTACTGATCGAAACGACTAGGTTTCGCATCTATACGATTCTCGGTCCATATTGAGACCGCGCGTCGTAAGGCAATTACACAAAGTGAGCTAAAAAATGACCCACCAATATGCCAAACATTGCACAGCACGCTAAAATGTACTAGATCTGTACTTCAGTGCGGATTATTCCAAAGGATTTGTTCTCTTCACATGGGGTTTACTTTTATGCAATGAACATTGGTCAACAACAAAATAAATCTTTTGCTTTACATCTAATAATAATCTACTCTAGGGAAACTTGTCGTCGTAACCGTAACTTAGGCTCTGCATATTGATTGCGCAAACAAAATCAAGTTGCTATATGTGCACAAATATTTCAACATTCGCATAATGAAGGAAAATGAATGCAATTTGCCGTGGTTTATTAATTCTATTCACCAATTATTTGCCCGTAATTTTACCTGTTGTTCTAGTTAATACTCAGCCTTAATCTTGCCGCGAGGTGCGTAACTTTCCGAATTGTTTCCAATATGTGAAAATAGTTGGATTGAGTCCTGCTTCCACTACTTTTAACCTATAAATTCATATAAGCGAAGCGCATTAAATGCTACGGTTTTTATATCCGGAAGTAAATATAGATCAGGCAGACACATTGCACATTGCCGATTAACCCGCAAAAACTAAATACTCGCATTTTTTCGACTTGTTTGGTGCTGGAGCAATAAGCACGGGTATTGAGTAATTGTTAGCATGACATCTAAGTTGAGAAACCTTAAACAACGTAATTAAATATACTATCAAGTACGTTACATTAACTTTCTCC